ACACTGTCTTCACTGCCAGCAGTCAGGTAGGAAAATCCTCCACAGTCCTGGAATCAGTGGTGATTTTTTTCAGGTATTTGCAGAGTTGCTGTAATACTGTATACTTTACTGAAAGGATAAGAAAATATATTCTTGCCTTAGGCGGTGCCTCTATCCTCTGGGCCATCTGGAGGTTGATTTTCATAAACGCCCAGAAGTAATAGTGGGGCTGGTCAGTATTTGGAGGTGAAGCATCTAAGAAAAAATTATTTATGCTGTAGGGAATGTTAGTGAACCCGAAGATTGAAAATATTCTATTCACATGCACTGACTGCATTACATTAATTGAAGACCTAATGATACAACTTTCTTTGCGTTACAAATAAAAACAAGACATTTGGCACATCTATTTGAAGAGTGGTGTTGGTAATCTTAGTGCCCTGTGTCAATTCCAGTTTAGCTTGATCTGGCCAACCTAAATGTATGTCAAGTTTAATTCTTCACTTCCCCATCTGCCTTCATCTGTAAAATGGCTGCTTTGTGCTATCACAGAGCTTGCTACGCTTCAGCTGTGATTGACTCTTCTGCAACCTGCAGAGCACTGTGGAAAAGTTGTGATGAAATTAAAATGAAAGTTGTAATTAACATTAATTGATTTTGGAAAAAGATAATATACTTTATTTTGACAGGGAAATTTATCTGACCCCAAAAGTTGCAGTAACATCAATGAAAACATATCTGGTGAAAAAATGTCTCCCTCATGATTCTGGAATTCTGTGGGAAATTGACCATTGTCTGAAACATTTTTATACTTTCTTTGCTGCTAGTTTTTTTATGGGATGCAGTATAGTAAGTGATATTTATAATTGGAAGGTCCAGCATTATTGATTTTTATGGTTTTCCCTGACAGTAATTGTTGCAAATTGAAGTGTCCCTACCACCTTTAGATGTGGTATTGGAAATAATTGCAGTAATGCAGAGTATGTTTGGAAACAGGATTTTAAAACCACTTTGTTCACTTCTTTCCTTCAAACTCAAGGTTTGAGAGGAAATAGAACTGCTAGTAAACCAAATTTCCGGAAAACAAATATATATTTTTTATAATTATTAAATATTTGTCTCACTTCCACACTGGACCTCTGGACTGATTTGGGTGATGGTTACAGTACACACTGCAGTGCATGACTGGCCATACTTTTCTATATTTAAAATATTCCACAGCTGTATAGAAAATAAGTCAAATAATAAAGGCTTTATTTATTGAAGTGGGATTGTGGAAAGGAAACAGTTTAAGCTAGCTATCTCAAATCTAGATCCAGTATTTTTTCTGTTCTGTTCCAATTGGCTTTCTCAGGTGTTATCACCAATGGACATATTTAATGTTTATTTGTTCCTGTTATTTTATATCCTATAGCTTAACAGTGGATTTGATTCAGTTTTGCCCAGATTTGGAAGTTTTGCCCAGAAACATTTTGTAGTATAAAAAAAACATTTTGTTCCAGTTAAACTCTAGATGGTCAAGTAGAAAGTCCCCCAGTTTAGACTGTAATCCATCTCTTCAAACTGTTCTTTTTGTCATAGAGAGAAGCTTTTAATAATTTACTGTAGCTCAGATATTTTTATGCTTTTTTGACTTCACACATCAGTTGTTTTGGCATAATTTTTGCCAAAACTTGGATTTATTGTTAAGTTTGCATGGGAAATAGTTGAAATATGAGAGGTGGGCAGTTCAGATAATATTAAATGTCTGTCTTTGGTTTGTTTCTGTTGATTCTTTGTCATCTGAGCAAGCTCTGACTAGAGTGCTCCCTAAAGGCAAATCCATACATAGTCTGGTACAAACTGTAAGGTTCATTATCTAACATGTTTTCTGTTCAGAAGTAGAAATACTGTACAAGACCCATTGGCAGTTGGTTTTTCTTCTTGGTGTTACAGTACTTACTTTACAGTGTTACAGTACTTATTTTGTTGTTTGTTCAAATATTTGTTAAAATCCCAGAAGGAGAAATTTCTATGGACACATTGTTATGAGGAAAAATGTAATTATACTAAAACTATAATGTATTTTTTTACTGTGCTGTTTTAAAGAACGTGTGTATCCTGAATAATATAAAAATCAATAGAGATACAGTTGCCACATCCCCTTTGCCTTATTTCATCATGATTTCAAACATCTGTGACTTTTAAAATGTAAGATCTACAATATTAAGTCATTTACCTTTTTAGTTTATACTTTTTTTTCCTCCCTAACACCTAAGTTAAGATAATTTACAGGGTAACCACTGTTTGTGTTCATGGCAGTGATGGCGTACAGTACATACAGTAGGTTGTTAACATGCCAAGTGTTTTTTGTCCAGCTCTCTATTATTCAATGTAAAAGTTCAATTATATTATATTAAATCTGCACTCACTGAGGTATTGACTAGTTAGCTTTCTGTTCGTTGCTTGACAACACTGGAATTTGAAGCAGAAATGTTGATGCATAGTGTTTGGTGATATACCCTTTCAGAAACACTCAAAAGGTTTGGAGATTTTGCTGATGTTCCAGCCTGTTGTCCAAAGGTTGAGCTAGCTTTCCTATCATAGTGATAAATATTTTCAGCTACAGTATGTTCTGTTTAATGGCAGATGTTTTGTGTTATTTACACTTTAGAGGTTATATGATTTCTGAATTATAGTAAATTGGTACACCCTGTTCCATTTGTAGATGTGTATTCCTCCATGTCTCAACCATGTTAAGATCTGGAGGCTTGTCAGGTGGTGTTAACAGTGTCCAGTTAATCACTTCACCTCCCTCATTCTAAGTGGGATGCTTTCATGGTTCATTACAGTAGGTACTGGGCTAGTGTGGGCAAATGTTTCAGTTTATCTGTTGGCTCCCAGTGATTATTGGACATGAGATGGATGAATAATTCTCGAGCAAACATTGTAGATATATCAGATTGATCTGCTTTTAAGTCACTTCTGCAAAGGTATTAGAACATAAGAGGATATAAGTGAGAGGAGAACATTTGGCCCCTCTTGGTCAATTTAAAACTTGGCGTCATCTGATTTTTGAACCAGACATCTTCCTCATATGTGTTACAATTTATACAGGTGTAGTGGTTTGATGGGTTTACTGAGAAAATTATTAATTGTATCAGTAATCATGAGGTTGTTCATTGGGGCTTTTAGAAAATCAATTGTCAGAACAACTAACAACGCACACACATGGGTTCAATACACGGGGTACATTTATTCATATAAACTGTGCACCAAACATATACTAGTCTGCCTGGATATGAGCAGCAGACCTTACTGTGAGGGTTATCAATATACAAGGTATATAATCTCGAAGA